ATTAAATCATGGAATGGATTGGGTTTGTAAGGGACCTTGAAGTTCATCCAGTTCCAAACCCCTGCCATGGACAGGGACACCTTCCACTTGACCAGGTTGACCCTGGCCTCGAATACCTCCAGGGATGGGACTAATAATAGCAAATAATAATAAATAAAAATAAGCAATATTCTTCCAATATCAATGTAAGTGTCTAGAACTGACCTGCTGTGAAACACATTACTCACTTTAGACCATTTTCTGTCAGGCACATCACATCAGCACAACTCTGGAAGCATTCCCCAGGAAAGCCCAGAGATGAGAGGTGATGGCAGAGCTCTTGTTCCAGCACCAGCAATGAATCTGTGGCAGGAATTGCCAACTGAGGAACCGTGCCCAGAATCCCAGGGTCAGCTTGTTCCAACCCCCTGCCATTGGCAGGGACACTTTCTAAACCAAGTGCTCAGAGCCCTTTCCAGCCTGGCCTTGAACACCTCCAGGCATGGGGAGTACACAACTCTCTGGACAACCTGTGCCAGGGCCTCAACACCCTCACTGTAAAGAATTGTTTCCTAATATATAATCTGAACCTGCCCTCCTTCATCTAAAGGCCATTTTCCCCTGTCCTCTCACTACATGCCCTTGCCTGAAGTTGCTCTCCAGCCCCCTTTATGTACTCCCAATATCAAAAAATATCAGTGAATACCACAGAGCCCATCCCTAGCCAGGAGTCTGTCCCAAACTGGATTTTCACATCAACTATTATCATGTCTTTTATGAGAAGAAATGAGAAGAACATTAGAAGAAATGGGAAGGACATGAGAATAAATATCTATGAGCTCCATTTTAAAAGGACACGGTACCCTCAAGCAATGTTCAGGTCTGGGCTTTGTTTTAAAAGTATTGAATGAAAGGCAGTGCCTGTGGGAAGGGGAATGCTGATGCATTTCTTGATTTGTCAGACAATGCAGGACATTAAAAAAGCTTCATTATTCTCATATCTACTATTATCTAACTTCTGCCGAATCAGGTCCAGAAAATGCATAGAATTTCATCATCATAATTTTTGGTATCTTTTCTATTGAGTAGTGAGACATGACCAAAAAGTCCCTAAAATCAGATACTACTTTCAAAAAGGTTGATGCTGACAGAATTTTCTCACAGGCTTGCACTGAGATAAACACCCCAGAAGGCTGCTGCTTCTCTGATCTTCAAGACACTCCCTGGCAAACAAACCCCTTTCTCTCTCTCATGAGGGTTTGTTTGAGTGCCTCCCAAGAGAGGTCAGAACTGATGTGTGAAGGGTGCACCCACATCACACACCCAGGGAGTGACCTCCTGTGCTTCCTCAGCTCTGCCTGTGAGTGCCAGAGCTCTGTTCTCTCACACAACAAATTCCTTTCTGCTTTATTAGCTGAAATGCAGCCCTGTATCAAACACAAAGAAATGAACTCCCAGGCCTTTTTTTTTTCCTTCTCCTTTTCCAGTGCCTGTACTCTCATGCCAGCTAATTTCGAGGGGAAAATGTGCTGTGAGCAAAGGGAGAAAAACAAATTATTCTCCTTTCACTTCAAATCACTTCCAGTTTCTCAATTTAAACTGCATTTGCATTGAGCATCTCAGTGCAACCTCATGGGCACAAAGAGGAGAGCCCCCACCAACACTCCTGCTCTGTCATCACCATCCCCTCAATTAGAGATCAGCTCATCACTTGCTGAAAACATGTTGGTTTTATGAATTTTCTGTGACCAGCCACATTCTTTAGAGGTCTTTATATCAAGCTATAGGCACTGTCTTACACATAAATGTGTGTGGCAGTAAGATCTCCAGAGCCAAAAGGAAAGCAACATAACAGAGACTACAGATAGAAATTCCTGTTATATCCACATCCCAGAAAATCTCTGATGCACCATCCACAGAGCTGTTTCCCAAGTCAACAGACCTTGGCAAATGCTTCTGCCACCAGGTAAAGGAAAATGAGGCAATATCAGTCTGGAAAAGGCCATAGCAGCGTGATAACTCTGCCACGGAGCAGAGGGAGAAAGGAGGAATCTGCCCATCTTGCTGTCTCTGTCCTGCTGGTGCTGTGCTGCAATGGTGAGCAATGTCTCCACGCTGGTATCCACACATTTATTTGCTCCTGTTTCACTGTGTGATGACAAGCAGCTCTGGGGAAGAGTGGGAGAAGGGAGCAGTGTGGGCAGGAAATGAGGGAGGAAGATTTGGAGAGAGGAAGAATGCTAATGTGCAGCTGGAGAGGGATGTGGTCATAATAAAACAATTACAGAGTGAAAAAAAAAAAAAACAAACCAACAAAAGGAGGGGAAAATCCAAAATTCCTATGCCTTCATTATTTAACCAAAGAATCCTGAGGACACTGAAAGCAGTGTCCTTATCTGGTCAGTGTCCAGTAGGACCCCTTCAATAAAGCCCATCAGCAGCATTGCCATCTGCCCTGTTTCCACTGAATGTATCCCCAGAAATTTAAACTCTTTTAAACTTGCAGCGTCTGCAGGGAGCCACTGTCTGTGGGTCTCACTGATGGCTTGAGCACAGTGGGGACAGAGAGGACACTGAGCTCGCTCCATCCATAGGTACTTCCATGCCTTCATTTTTCTGCCTCTCGATCCCTTCATTCCTCTCTCCCTCTACCCCTTCATCCCTCACAGGGAAAGCAACAGGGACAAGGCTTGGCTGGGCCTGCCCTTCTGTTCTGACTTGTTGGAACTTGCTGAACACATCCTTCCTTAGTTCCATCAGACAGTTCTCCCATTGCTGTACTTTATTCTTTATTATTTAGGGATAAGACAGAGAAAGAGAATAAGAATGGGCTTCAAATTCTCCTATGGAGCAGGTTCAAAGCAAGCCCAAGAGAGTCTGTCAGGAAGCTGGGGAACTCTTCACCACAGGATGCTGTAGGTGCTGCGAAGGGTTGAGTTTTCATGGGTATGTTCACCTCAAGAGAGCCACCGATTTCACAAAATACACAGAAACCACTCCAGCTCAGGAAATCTCTGAACACCAAGTGGTTGGATGCCAAAAGAATAATTTAGTAAAATACGTTTACCTTGTTCTTGTACCTGGTGTCACCCTGGGCACTGCCAGAGACAGGACATGAGGCTACACAGCCAATACAGCCTCTCTCATGTCCTGTCATCCCAGGACCTATCCCATACTCCGTGGAAACAATATCTCCCCTTCAGTAAACACGCAACTCTTCCCTCCAACAGGCAGCTTTGGTTTTTAAGTAGGACCAATACCATCCCAACCACTGACCTTTAACATCAGTGTCATGCCAGTCCCTCAGACTCTGCTTCTCAAATTGACCCCATACTTCCAACCCCTTTTCAGTGACTCACAGTCTCCAGGGACTGTGACACCATCTCTGCAATAATCCCAGTAATGCTTTACTCTTTCTGCCTCAGGCCCCCCACCAAGAACCCCAGATTCCCAAAGTCAGGTTTGGGAGATGGAAGGAAGGTGCAGAAGCAGGGAGAAGTGACTTGGGAAAAGAAGGGTAAGTTAAATAAATCCACAAAACCAGCAAGATGTCTTCTTTTCTGCTACTTTTAAGTCTGGGCTGTTTTTTTACTCCTAGCTTACACTTTTTTTTCTAGTCACCAGTGCCAACATACCCTCAGAAAAAATGCCTTTAAAGCCTTTTTTTGCTTGATAAAGTGCTATTTTTGTTGTGATGCATGATGAGTACCTAAAAAATCTCTTGTACCCCTGTCAAAGACAGAAATCTATCTAAGGAAGAGTTCTTTTCTTAGGAAGCAGCATGAGTTCAGTCCAACATATGTCTATCACACATAATTGCTTCCAATAACTTGTACTGTCTCCGTCTTGGCTGTTGTTGGCCAAAAGCATCTTGTGTAAAGGGAAAAAGTGCAATATTTACAGATTGTCTTAGGGCATCTCATTTAACAGTTCGCAAACTATTTGGGCTTTGCTTGCCCACAGATTTAGCCCCCACTTCCTCAGACAAACATGTCTGGAGGCAGTACAAGGGCTAAGATTGACCAAATGCCATTGGTTCAACTCTTGTGTCAGAAGGCAGGTGTAATATACACCCAGTGCCCATTCAAACACAGAAATTCCATCAGTCCCACCCTGGGGTTTCAGCATCTTCCTGCAGGCTCATAACAAATTGTTTGCTCTGATGACAAACATCACCACAGCAGCAAATTTGCCTTTTCATGCAGCATTGCTGGGCATGGCTCTTTTTTTTCATTTTGTGAAAATGTCCCTTTATTAGGTTTCTGTGATCCTGAAACTCCAACAGGGAGGTGTGTGTGTGTTAGGAGAGAAGAGGGGACAGGCAGGAGACCCTGATTAATAGGACAACGATGAATTAAATTTTCACCTCGATCTGAGACCTGCCTCAGCAGAGCAGCCACTCAGGGCACTGCCAAGTCACAGGGCTCTGAGAAATGCACTTTCACGAGCAGAAACAGTGGTTACTTTTCATTTGTGTCACATTTCAGGGCTCTGTGCTGTTTTCCCTGCGGCAGGAGAGGGAGGTGAGACCCTGCTGGCAGAGGTAAGATCACACACTGATCCATGCTCAGAATATTTATTTAACAGGACATGAGTGAGGAGAGGGAGTACAGGACATGCAGATCAAGTATCATCCACAGAGGTTGCAGAGGTTGTCATCACAAGCTTGACAACATGTTTAACAGCTTTCCTGGCATGCTCTGACTGCAGAGGCATCCCTGTTCTGCATCCAAGCCTTTGGCCACTGTGGTCTGCACTGGAAAAGTAAGAAGCACCCAGGCTTGGGCACAGATTTATCACTGACTGGACCACTTCCATCCTGGAGCAAATTTCAAGCCTTTCATGGAGGTCTTTCCCAGGCAACGTCTAAATATCATTTGAGGAGCAGCACAAGCCAGGGACTGCTCACAAAAGGCAAAACAAATTGCCCTTTCCAAGTAAGGATGTTTAATCATACACATGCCAACCTGCTGTGTCCTCCAGACCAAAGAATGGACTCTGCCCCTTATTTGTCCATAAAACATTCACATGGAAACCAGACTCTTAACACAGCTGAATTTATTTGGGGATGAATATTATAGCCCAGTGATATTTTGGAGAGAAAATTAAGAACAAAAAACCATAAGCAGATCTTCTTCCTCCATACATCTAAAGACTTTTTGTCCATTGTAGCAAACTGCAAAGAGACAGCTGCTCATCTGTGACCACCGAAGGCCACCCCTCTCCAAATATACCTTCCAACTGGAATTAGGACCATGACAGAAGCTTGAGATAAAGAGGATACTATTGTCCAATCATCACAGATCTGGGCAGAATTTGTCCATCACTGGTACTGGAAGAGATACTGGAATGCTGATGGCTCAAACATTCAGGAGGAAGCTGCTGATGTGCAAAGTACCTGCCCAGATGCAGAGGATGAGCACAGCCCACCTCAGGCTACAGATGATGTTGAACAAGGTAAGAGGCAAACCAACATCCAGCTGAAACTCCCTGCCTCAGGGGAGGTACCTGGGCATTCCCCATCTGGATCTGAGTGGATATAAATCCAATAGAGTTGTTGTTCCTGGGATTTCTCCCAATACTTGATGAGTCTGGTCTGTGATCATCACTTTGATTAACAGAACTCGAAATTGCAATAACCAAGTTTTATTGTGAGCCCTACGGCTGATGAGATCTTTCTACTTCTATATTTTCCTTCTCTTTTTTATATGTTTTTGCAAGTGGTATCCTTAGGCTTTTATATTGTCATTTTACTATAGATAACATCCAAAATGGGTCCATACCCATTTTTCTGTGTGACAAATTGTTCTACAGTAAACCCTATATGTGTATATTTGCAAACACTGATCATTCAGTGTAGTTTCACTCTAACCTCTCCCAAGGGATTTATAAACAAGAACCTGGGTTATCCTGGCCTTCTAGGACAGGTCATAGCACGTGTCCAACACTTCTACAGATATCCAGTGTTTGCTTTCTGTTCTCTTTCTGCTGCACAAGCATGCAGAATAAAAAAAGGATAACAAGTGTTCACAAATTACATGCTGGGTAAACAGGCTAGTTTAGTGAGATATCACTGCTTTCTAGAGAGAAAAAATGTTGGACTTTTTTTGGCTTTATGTTTATATCTTCATTGAAGTTTTAATTTTCCGAATGAACCCCAGCCAGCGTGAGCTTAGGGTTTCTACAGAGGTTTTTTTGAATCCAGGAGGGAGCACAGATTTCAGTACACTGCCTCTGTTTCACTGCAGTGGCTGGAATAAAATTCCAGAGTTCTTCAAAAAGAAGGCTCTGTGGAATTGCAACATGCAAAAGAAAGAAATCCAGCCTGGGAAGAGTTAATGATTCTGACAAGGCCAGTCCTGGGCTCCAGCCTTTGCTGGAGGGCTGCAGTGCCTGAGGGCAGTACAAGAAGGGTACCAAGAAAATGGGAATACTGACATCATCAACAAAAAAATCTTATCTCTTGATTTCTTTATCAAGGCAGAGGTTTCTTTGGAAGAGATCAATACAGTTCTGTTCTAACTCCCTTGTACATATGAAGATGGGCTGTGCACCACTGCTGCAAATTTTATGAGATACATCATAAGTTACACAAAGCCCTGTGAGTCAGGCAGCTCTCTCCAGTCATGCAACTTTCCAGCCAAGGAGCAGGAGCAGTTCACAGTAAAATCCATTGGTACTTGTCTCTTTAGCCAGATCTGTGGATTTTTGGCTTCTTTGCCTGTATTCAGACATATGCACCTGTCTAACATGATGCAAGAGCAGCTGTACTGACCACACTTCAGTGGGATGACTCACACATTTGTTCCTGCAAGGCTGGAATTGCATTAGTAGGAATTTTAGATTTTTTGGTGGTCATAATCATCTAATAAATTAGACATTTTTGACCAGTGTTTAATTGTGAATCAAGCTCCAGAAGAGATGCAAAAATGTGTATTAATAAAATAGTCTGGGGCTCTACAGGACATAAAGGGAAGCTTTAAAGATGTGAAATCAAGCCCACAAACAGGATTTCAGGAAGAGAAGTAAATAATTAATTCCTTTTCTCTCCACAAGTAAGCAAACAGATGGGAAATGATGCAGAGGCTTCAAAAGGAAAAATCATGAAGCTGTGGTCCTTGGGAATAAGCTGCAAGATCCATTCAGATGTGTCTCACTTGTTAATCAAACAGAGGCAACCCAAAAAGCTGGGCGAAATCCTGCTCTGTTGGATGCAGATTTAGGAATTTCCCCTTTCATCTGGGGTTTCTTGTTTTTCTTGCAGGAGTCCAGGGTGACCTTTCCCCATCTCCTTTCCACATCAGTTCGGTGGAGGTGAATGTAAGCTGACACAAACTGGGTTTACCAAGCAGCTTTTCACCTCTTTGCTGGGGACTCCTCTGAAGTTTGCCAGACACTGCGAGTGACCATTGCTCTTTATGGCAAATAAAAACCCCACAGGCAGAGCCTTTGCTGGAATAAATTACCACTTTGCAGCATCTGAGGACGTGCCTCTACATTGGTCACTCAAAGGTGGCACTTCAATCCATTTCTGATGCACTGTGTCATCCTGGGAGATGTGAACACCCATCTCTACTTTCCCTCTGTTCATAATTTAGAGGTGATCCTACAGTGTTCAACAGGTCCAAAGGCTGGGATATGAAAACCTCAGAGCAGAAAACTTTTTCCAATCATCTTGGACTCTCTCAGCTGAGGAAATGGAAATTTTTACAGAGCAAGAAGTGTTTCAGCTAGGAAAAGCAGTCTGAAACGCTGGTGAAAAAGGAATCTATAGCTCCTAAGTGCTCCAGATCTTGCTCACACAACTCAAGTTTCCACGTTGATCTGGCAGTAAACTCACAAACTTCTTTCTTGGTAACTTGACTGGTTCAGAACTTGCTAGGGGAACTATGAATTTGATCTTCCAGGTGCATCAACTGCACAGAAACTCTTTCTCAATCCTCAGACTCTTCTGAGACCATCCAGTAGAAGCCAATTACTATATCTGGTAGTGTTCAAAGCATTATTATGCACAAAGCTTTCATGCATGCTGAGGGTTGAATATTTTCCTTAGTAGTGGTCAGATTTCTTGTAGTTGTCTTAATTTCTAATTGTAAAAATGCTTTTCTTAAAAAGGGCACATGTCAGAGCAAATTCTATATAAAAAGCATCTCTTTAGGAACCTGTATTCATTCCATGCAGCATTGGGCAGGGATAAGATTATCTCACACCTAAGAATATCTCTGGTACATTTAAGGCACAATAACTATTGATTCTCTTGAACAAACGGAAGAGTAAATATGACTGAGATGATTCCACTGCTTTGAAAATTCCAGGAAGGAAGAAAAATAAATAAATTCAAATCAGCCAGTGTGTGTTTTGTCAGATGAAATCAGGAGGGAACAATATGTTCTTTCTGAAAATATAAGAGAGTCTTAAATGCAATGAAAAGATTCATTTGTTTGGTTTTAAACAAGAAGGAAACAATAAATGCACAGTTGTATCCACCAATAGTCGCTCTCTGGGCAGATGTTGTTGGTAGCTTTCTCCAGTTATGTACAACACATTGAAAGGAAACTTAGAAAAACTGAAACAGGCAGTTTGAGAGGAAAAGAACAAATAACTGAGTAGTCTGAGAGCAGGAGTGTCAGCAACTACTGTCTTTCTGAGCACCAGAAAGGCATCTGAGGATCAGTAACACCAGGAGTGCAGCCCCACAAAGTGTAGTGTAGAAGTCCCATGTGAGCACTGAATGGGTTGGGTTGGAAGGGACCTTAAAGATTCTCTAGTTCCAACCCCCTGTCATGGGCAGGGACACCTTCCACTAAACCAGGTTGTTTAAAGTTCCATCCAACCTGGCCCTGAACACTTTCAGGGATGGGGCAGCCACAGCTTCTCTGAGTAACCTGCACCAGGGCCTTACCACCCTCCCAGGAAAGAATTTCTTCCTCAAAGCTAATCTAAATCTCTCCTCTTTCAGTTTAAAGCCATTCTCCCTTGTCCTGTCACTCCATGACCCTGTCAGAAACCTCTTTCCAGATTTCTTGTAGCCCCAGCAGTTATTGAAAGGCTGCAATCAGATCACATTTTCAGGACAAATGCAGTAGCTGCAAGTTCTGGATTCAAAACAAAGGCTTCCTAAACCTCAGTTTAATTACAGAGCAATTTCTTGAGTTGGACCTCGGTCTGGTGAGCTGGGACAGCAGTTGCCTTGCAAAAGATACATTTATCTTCCAAGATGCACAATGAGTGGGCTCTATCCATTTTACTCCAGATCTGAGAAGGATCTCACATATCTACAGACACATGCAGAATGAAAAGCAAGTCCTGATGTACAGTCTCTGTGCCCAGAGTGTCCAGAGAGACCAAGCAATTGAACTGGTTGATGGATTCAGGATGTGCTCATCCCCAGTTGTGGCCTCCTCTAAAAGGTATCTCCCTAGGGCAACTTCCTGTACTCCCATCACAGCCCCACCATGCCCATTTAGGGCTCATAATCATATTCTTTCCAAAAAATACACTGCACTGTTTCTCCCCTGCCTGGCAGCTTCAGTGAAGCACTCAGGTAGCAGCCTGAATGAGTGCATTTCCTCACCACATAAATTCCTGAAAGAAAAGGTTATGCAAATATTTCATTTCCACAGCAGCAGGTTTTGCCCTCAGGGCAACCTCTGTGGCTGTGTTATCTCTGCTAAAGGCTTCCAACCACGCTCAGATCTGACATGTGAGATTAATAGCCATGTAAAGGGGTTAGGGTTTGTGCTGAAATATTATTGAAAGGCATCACAGTGATTCCACTGACCCAAGAGAAAGGAGTCATGCCATACAGCTCCAGTTTGGTCAGTGGGATGATTTCATTCCAGCTCCTTCAGGATGAAATTCAGGCTCTTTCTGCAGTGCTCTGACATACAGCTGCTCCAGAAGGTACCCACATATACATAGATATATAAGGGAAGCAACCATATTCATGTAACCAGGCTCCTTGAAAAGCTGAGAAAACCGGGATTGTTGAGTCTGAAAAAGAGAAAGCTCTGCAGAGACCTTGGAGCCCCTTTCAGTACCTGAAGGAGTCTCTCAAGGAATCTGGAGACATTTTATAAGGGCATGTAGTGACAGAACAAGGGGAATTGCTTTAAGCTGAAAGAGAGTAGATTTAGATTAGAATATTAGGAAGAATTTTTCCCTTGTGAGGGACGTGAGGCACTGGAACAGATTGCCCAGAAATGTGGATGCTGCAACTCTGGAAGTGTTCAATGCCAGGCTGGATGGGGCTTTGAACAACTGGGTTTAGTGGAAGGTGTCCCTGCCAATGGCAGGGGGTTAGAACTGAATGATCCTGGGGTGCTGGGAACATCTCCTCAGTTGGAAATTTCTGCCACAAATTCATGGCTTGTGCTGGAACAAGAGCTCTGCCATCACCTCTCATCTCTAGGCTTTCCTGAGGAATGTTTCCAGAGTTGTGCTGATGTGATGTGGCCACCTGAAAATGGTCTAAAATGAGTAATGCCTTTTATAGCAGGTCAGTTCTAGACCCATATATTAAACTATGTATTAAGCACTTATGGGAGCAAAAGTAGTGAGCAAAACCTATTACAATCAGAGATCAGTTATTTGGCACACAGTAACAATTTTCTTGTATTAGGGACTTCCTCTGACAGGTGTGATCCTTACATTTAATGGCTTTTGATATAATTTTTTCCCCCCACTTTTAATTTATCCATGTCTGTTTTACTTTCTCCAGACTTCTGGCATTGTCACTTATCTGTTACAATAAATTAAAAATATTATTTTTTTAAAAGTGCAGAAATTAAAGAAAAATGTTGTTTGATATGCAAACACTGAGATTTCTCACTCTCTGTGTCCCTCTATTCACCTGATTTTCTGTAGACTTTTCTGTTCTTCTGCTGGACAAATACTCTCCTGTGTCACTCACTGTGGATACGTCCTTGTACGTGGCTGTCCTTGGAGCCAGGACCTCACAGACATTTGAGCACATTTAGCTTTCCTCTCCAGCTTTGGTTTATCTGTTTCCTATTATGGTGACAGTCTTGCCATCCCTCTTCATTAAAACAGGCGATTGGAGAGGAAAGTGACTCTCTGCATGTGTTAGCTCCGGCACTTGACCAGCTAAATGACAACTTGTTGCCTCAGGAAAGGGCAACTCCTTCATCTCCCACAGCTCTGTACATCACCCTGAAGTGCATCTCCTGCTGGTCCCAGTGTTTGATGTGTCCTTAAATCTTCAAGTGTCTGTACAAGCACACTAGATACAAACAATTACATGGTGTATGAGTATTGCTCATTATGGTGTGTCACCTTCGAGTTTAGCAAATATTTCTGAACAGCCTGGGACAAGAACAGGTCATGGCTGACCTAAAAATACTTTCTCCATATGGAGTCTTATTTTTGTTGTCCCTGCTGTCCTTCCCTGTACCTTCTGTAGCTCACCCTCTTTTAAGAAGGGTGCACACAGTTTCTAGAATCATAACAAAATTTAAGTCAGAAAGAGCCTCAAGAAATCCTCCTGTCCAAACCCCTGGTCTATAAAAAGGCCTTTGACATTAGATCTGATTCCTGGAGTCTTGTCTCAAAAATCTGATTAATAGCTCAAAGAATGGAAACTCTACAGACTTTCTTAGTAACCTGTTTCAGTATCTGGATTAGCAATGACAGCAAGGAAATTATGGCAATAAAATTTCATCCCAGTTTTCTCTAACCAATGGGTTTTCACATTCTGGAACAATTTCTGGATAGCCTGGACTTGAATAGCATTGTATCTTTGTATCTTATTATTAAGATCTCAAAGTAGTCCTCCTGGAGTTTTGGCTCCAGAGTCTGTGGCTGCTTTCAGACTGATTTCTCATGGTCATTCCTTGCTCAGATCCAGTTTCAGAATATTTACTTGGCTTCATGGGCAGCATTCTGGAATTCACATCCTCCAGCCTTTCTCCCAGTTGATGTAAACTTTTTCTTGATAACATAGAAAAGTCAATGGATCAAACCTACCCACAATTTTTCTCAATCCAGAACAACTGGGAAAAAGAGAAAAAGCTTTGATACCTTCTTGGTTTTTTTATTTTTTTAAACTTTCTTTATCAAAATTTGAAAAACATCCTGTTTTCAGGTTTCCAGATGTCCCCAGCTCTATGATCATTTATTGTGTGGACATGAGGAGGCTGGTTAGCAATAAACAAAGGTCCACAAATTTTCAAAGGAATTCACACCACTTGTTGAAGGACTAATTAAGTATCATACAGATTAGATGCATGCTACAGTGATTGCAAATGCTTTGTATCTCAAGTGCTATCTTAGAACCGACATCAACTTCATAATTTTAATTTCCTTACACTCACACTCTTCAGTTCCGCCCGAGTGATTATTTGGGCTTTTCAAGTGGTATAAATTAGCATAAATTGAAATGTCAGTATCAGGGAAGAGAAAAAAAAACAACAACAACAACAAAAGAAAAAAAATCACTGTTGGGAAAACTATGTGTATTTTTTCAATTCCCTGACGCATCCATATTTTTAACTAAGGAAAGATAGCCACTTAAAAATGCTCTGACCTCAAGTAGTTTAGTTTCTCTCATAAAGCAGAAAGAAGTGCTTCACAAATCACAAAAGAGCTTTATTAATCCACTGGTTTTATGCAGAGCTCTACAGAACACTTAGAGTTGGCTTTTGCACCTCTTCTATACACAGGTTTTAGGAGCAGAGGTATCATTGTCACATCAAGTCTGACCAAAGCACAACCAAAATGCTGGTATCCAATACACACAGTTTTCACAAATATCATCACAGATAGACAGGTTCTGTATAATATCTCTGACAATTATCTGGATGAGACACCCTCAGTCAGTTTGAAGTTGACAACAAATTGGGTGGAGGTGTTGATGTGCTGGTGGGTAGGAAGGCTCTGTGGGGTGATGTGGGAAGGCTGGATTGATGGTGTGAGGCCAGCAGGATGAGGTTCAAGAGTAGCAAGGCCTCAGTCCTGCCCTCATGTCCCAAAAAGCCCTGGCAGTGCCCCAGGCTGGGGGCAGAGTGGCTGGAAAGCTGCCAGGCAGGAAGGGCCCTGGGGGTGCTGGCTGGCAGTGGCTGAACATGAGCCGCGTGTGCCCAGGTGGGTAAGGGGGCCAGTGGCCTCCTGGCCTTCTGTGTCAGCAGCAGCGTGGCCAGCAGGACCGGGGTGGTGATTGTCCCTTTGTGCCTGGGGACGCCACACCTCAAGTGCTGTGTGCAGGTGTGTGCCCCTGGTAAGGTGTGATAAATGAGAGATGCCTGTGTGGGAATGAAGGTGCCAAAGAGACCATCTGTCAAAGTTAACAATGGGGATTTTATTTAACAAGAAATGTGGGGTAGAGAGGTAGGGATGGGAAAGGAGAGAGTGAGAAGTAAAGAGGGAGAATATCAGGGATGGGTTGGGCTGGGCTAGGCTGCAGTGGGGAAGAGCAGAAATGAGGAGGACTAGGAAAGAGTGGGAGTAATGTGGAGAAGAGGTCACACAGTGGACTGTCCAAGATACTCGGCTCTAGTGGCATCCTGTTGGTCCTTAGCCACTGTGCACTTCCGCGCTGGGGGCTCCAGTGGTTCTTGTGGAGCTGAGGACCCAAGCAGATCATCCAGTGAATACACACCTTCCACCAGCCCATGTTGCAGCTATCCAGGGAGGCATTTTCCTATTTACCATATGCAAGGACGATGGGTTTGCCTTCATTTACCAGCAATGTTAAGGCACAAGGAGCATTTTTCAATTCTGAATCTAGCCTGGGGGCAGGGTGTGGATGCATCCCCACAATACAGCCCAGACCTAAAGTCAGCTTCCTGCGGGATTCTACAAGGCAGCGCTGACCTCATTCCTCAGACAGCTCTCCCTGAGAAGAGCTCTCCAAGTGCTCCAAGGCTGCTTTGCTGGTGGTATGTGAGGGGCTGGGGAAGGCAGCAGGACTTACCTTTGGCAATTAGTTGCCTTGAGCACCATGCATCCATCCATTGGGGTGTACCCAGTGTTTGTCTCCCATTGGTGTCACTGCCTCCTGGACCTGCCCTTTGGAGCTGGCATCATTTGGCATCATTCTGCTTCTGGCTCTGGGCTCAATCCTCTCGCTGTCCCCTGAGGCAGCTGAAGGAGAAGAGCCGGCGCAGAGCCCGCCGGGCCGTCTTGGCGATGGAGCGCCATGGCCGTGGGGCCGGGGGCTGCGGGACGGCTGCGCTGCCAGCGGGGCAAGCAGGAGCGCTGCATGCCAGGGGCTGGGCAGGCAGCGGGCAATCCCCTGCCGGTGCCTCAGCTCTGCAGAGCTCAT